AGTCTGCTTCTCCCTCTCCCTCTGCCTGCCTCTCTGCCTACTTGTGCTCTCTATCTCTGTCAAATAAATAAATAAAAATCTTTAAAAAAAAAAAAGATTTTATTTTTAAGTAATCTCTACACCCAACACGGGGCTTGAACTTACAACCCCGAGATCAAGAATCTCACGCTCTACCGACTGAGCCAGCCAGGCGCCCCGATTCACTGCACTCTAGACGCTGATGGTGGCGCTACAAATTGGCTCAGGCTTTCTGGTGAACACTCCAGTCTTACGTAATTAGGACTATGAAACTTCTCACACCTTTGGGTCCAGTGAGTCAGCTGGAGGAATACGCCTTAAGGAAATAACTTAGAGAAAACCAAATTACTACACTATTTACACCAGAGACAACCAGGGCACATCTCAAATTCCCCACACAGGACAAAGACCAAGCTAAACCATGTATCACTGGGTACATCAACACAAAGACATATTATGAAGTCACTTAAAATGACAAGCATATAGCCTATTTCAATAAATGGAGGTATATACTCAGTTTTAGCAATAGTGCTTATAATTAAGAACAAAGGCTCTGAAATCAGACATTTCTTGGTTTGAATCGTGGCACTGTCCCCTGTATACTTTCAAGAAATGTTTCTCGTTTAAGAATGGATTTGGACCATGCAGGACCTGCAAGTGGTTTCTTGCTTTTGAGGAGATGTGTGTATTCTCAATGGCGTGGAAAAGAGAGACAGAGGGCAGGCTCTTGCATCAGGCTGGCCGAGTTCATATCTCAGCACTGTCACTTGCCAGCCATGTCACCTTAGGCAAGTGACTACACTGCCCAACATTCCAGTTGCAATTCATGTGTCTAATACAGCTAATATTAGACGAATACATGGCTAATAATATGACCTACCCCATAAAGTTCTTATGAGCTTAAAATGAAATGATGCCTGCAGAGTGCTCAGTACAGTGCCAGACATAGTAAGTTCTCCATAAATTTCAGCAATCTGTATTCTTCAATTAATACTGATCACCTGCCATGATCTCAGCATTGCACTAGGGACACCCACTACATTTAATCCCTACAAGAACCTTACAAGGTGAGTGTTGTTATACAGAAGTTTTTTTTTTTTTAAGATTTTATTTATTTATATGAGAGAGAGAAAGTGAGAGAGAACATGAGAGGGGAGAAGGTCAGAGGGAGAAGCAGACTCCCCACTGAGTGGGGAGCCCGATGTGGGACTCGATCTTGGGACTCCAGGATCATGACCTGAGCTGAAGGCAGTCGCTCAACCAACTGAGCCACCGAGGCGCCCCTATACAGAAGTTTTTTAAAAAAATAAGCTGAGAGAGGGGCCTATGAATATTGGATGAGAGGAGGAGAATGCAAGATGGTTGGCAGATCCCAACTATAAACATGTAAAATGAAATACGCTCATACATTGGCAATGATATGCATAATTGGAATTTAATGGTCACTAGGCTCATTTTGTTTAGTTAGTCAAGTGTCTTTGTTTGTGTTTTCAAGTAGAAGCAAGTAAATGTGAGATAGGGACCCAGTCCCATTGCTTTAACTGAGCCGTGCCCTTCCTTCCCCCAGGCAATGACCAGGCCAGGTATTAAATGTCACTTGAGCGCTGGCTTCTGACCAGCAAGTGCTTACCTGGAGGAGGTAGAGGAGTCCTGGAACGAACAAGGTGAGTGGGTACAGAGACTGGTATGTTGCTAAGGCAAGAAAAATAGCACTGAGGAAGGCACTACCTGTAAAAAGAAATAAATATATGCAACAATCCAGCCTTAGCAATCAGGGTTAGACTTGGCAAGTCCCCCAAACAAGAAACTTCCCATAACTGGTCAAATAAGTTCTTATCACATGTCTCCTTGTGTACAAAATGCTATGCAAACTCACATACAGTGAGAGCTTATTGGCTTGATTTCCTGTGAAAGGAAACCTAGGAAGTCAAAACTATTTACTTTAGCAACCTGAGACACCTCAACTATGTTTCCTTTAAATTTTCAGACCAAGAAAGATTTCACAAAACTTTGGCCTAAAGATGAATAAAGGGATCAAGTCTATTAACATCTATGTCCTGTTTAACTTATCAACGAAGCCCATAATTATCGCTTAAGCGATTCAGAGCTGGGAAACCCATCCCTATTTTACAATACCCTTTCCTTATGCACTATCTTCAAGTCATATGCTTATTATTAAGGTATATTAATTTTTATTAATAATGTCCCCATTCCCTACATAAAATGGGCCACTATGATATAACAAATTTGCAATGACATGGAAAGATATCTATAACATCCTATTAATTGAAATTTATAAAAAAGATATATACTATGATCTCTTTAAAAAAAACATGCATAAGTAAATTTTTTAAAAAAGACTAAAAGACTAGGCCCAAGTTCACATGATTTTCTCTTAGTGGTTGAGTTACAGATTTTTTTTTTTTTAATTTTTGCTTCTCTGTATTTTCTAAACTTTCTATAATGAACATGCTTTGTTTTTGTCATAAGAAAAAACTGATTTCCTTTTTTTTAAAGGTTTATTTACTGGGGCAGCTGGTGGCTCAGTGGGTTAAGTTTCTGCCTTCGGCTCAGGTCATGATCCCAGGGTCCTGGAATTGAGCCCCACATGGGTCTCCCTGCTCAGTGGGGAGCCTGCTTCTCCCTCTCCCACTGCAGCTCCCCCTGCTTATGCTCTCTCTCTGTCAAATAAATAAATAAAATCTTTTTTAAAAAGGTTTTATTTTAGAGAGAGAGAGAGCGCGTGTGCATGCCCGCATAAGCAGGGGCGAGGTTAGGGGGGAAAGGGGCAGAGGGAGAGAGAGAATCTCAAGCAGACTCCCCACTGAGCACTAAGCTTGGAGCCTGTGCAACACCAGGCTCGATCTCATGACCCTAGACCACGACCTGAGCAGAAACTAAGAGTTGGATGCTCAACCGACTGAGCCATCCAGGTGCCCCAAAACTGATTTCTTTTCTTTTCTTTT